TAAGCACCGTTGACAAATTTTATAATTATTTAGATAGACAAAGGCTGTCCAGAATCTTGTTTGAAACCTAAGTTTTGAGAGGATCTCTGGAAAACCAGTTTAGTTCTCTAAAACATCAAGTGACAATCTACTAATCTCTTTACGGCCCTAGATAGGTCAAACTGTCCTCATAAAAATGGAACTAAAGCAAGTCCTTTACGTTCGTCAGTTTCGGTGTGCTTTGAATGAAATGATGGTTTTACAGGTTTTGACTCATTCCTTTGACATGGTCTTAATTTAAAGAGCGTGATCACCTCAAACAAATTCGTGCCACCACACTTCCAAAGTGGACAGCAACATGAACAACTACGGCGCTTAAAAGAAAGATCCACACCATATCATATGGTGAAGAATACTTCAAAATCTAGTTACTAGCGAGATAAAAAATTACAATCAGATAAACCAGAACGACGAGATAATGTTCAGTCACAGCGGAGAATCACATCATAACCTGCTGAAGGACAAACATCAACAGAAAAATAAAAATGATGATGTATCAGCTTCAAATGCTAAGCGTAATCGCGATAAAAAATAATTATCACCGACGATCAGTGACACTGGATCAGACAAAAACATAACTAGCAGGAGAAAAATCTTGCAAGTCCTAGGATGGCAGGGCATACTAGAAACTTTTGAAGATCAAAAAATCATACTCATGTTTAAGATAGTAAAAGGCTTAGCTCCCGACTATCTAGTCGAGAAATTTTTTGTCCATAAGTATAGTAGTATTCATCAGACTAGATCGCAAGTGGAGAATAAAATTCAAGGCAGTTGGGTCATGAATAAGCGTTTTCATAGCAAAAGATTTTAAAACACATTCTTTCCTACCGCTGTTAAAAGCTGGAATGAATTAAGTGAAGAAATGCGCCTATGTAATAGTTTAAAAACCTTTAAATCAAAACTGAAAATAACTATAGATACTCTAAAGAGTTTTCGCGTGTATGGCGTTAAACGCGCAGTAAACAAAATATACTACCAAATGTGCTGTGGTTTCTCGTCACTGAACAACGATTTGTATATCAAAACATTAGTATCTGGTAAAACCTGTTTATACGGCTAGAAAGAAACAATGAAGCACCATTTACTAGACTGTTCTCTCTATGCCAGTCACTGAGCTAAACTTTTTAAATCCATACGAGATTCGATACCTAGCGCGGATTGTTCTCGTAAGACTCTGTTACTTCTTTAAAGGAACTGTGCAAGGATCATTACTCTGTTATCTACCGTGCAGTTATATATTATATAGAGGAATCTTTAAGATTCGATATTTAAAAGTGTATACTTTTTCTTTGTTGTACCACACCCTTCCTCACTCAATTTATGTGTTTCGTTTTGTTCTAACGTTTTTCTTGCTCTTTTTACTGTTTATTTGCTTCAACATTAGGCTTCCAGGAATGGTACAATGATTTGTTGATTCCATCCTGGATTCTACTAGCTTTCTTTTACTTTTCTTTTTACTTTTATGAAATAAAGTTTAAACAAACAAACAAAAACATAATTTTAATAGTGTATCAATAAATTCAAGTTCTGATTCATCTCGTTCAAAATAGCGAGAAAGAAAAGTAAAATCATCAAAGCGAAGGAAAAAATCAACGCATAATAAAAGTCGTACATCAGGTCATAGCCGTAGCAGAAGTCGACATAGAAGCTATTCGGTAATATGAAAACAAGCTTGTTATTGTTGTTCTTCCATAATTTATCTACAATTATCAGGTAAAAATTCATGTTTTTCTTGTTTAATTTAAAATGATTTTAGCGGCGATTCAAATGACTCATTACAACCCTTCGGTAGTCTATCAAATACAATTATGATGGTTCATCCTCATTCCTATCAGTTTGCTTTAGCTTATGTTCAATCGAATATCAGAATTTTTTCCCGTTTGCCAGAGGACTGAATATCATCGTGAATTGAGATTAAACTCTTATAATTTTTAATGCTGATTATTAAACCTCTGATCGCATTATAATTTATCAATACTAAAGCCAAATCATTTATTTAAATGCGGTAATAGAAAATGGAAATGCAGTTTCGATCATGTTTGCTAACTAGCTACTACGTATTTTGTAGCAGTCATATTGACAACAATATTCGCAAAGGGTTTTAGCCGATTGCAAACATTTTTTGTTCCAAACTTATGCGTCAGCGCAGACCTTTTTCTGTAACATAGCAAATAAATTAACTGAAATGAATTGAAGTGTATGCTTCAACGTTTGTGCAATGATACAGTAATAGTAAGCAATGCGGGATTCCCAGTTGATTTACAACAGGTTCACTGAGGGGTACTATATCATCAGAATACATGTCTAAAATATATTGATTTTCTTTCTTCTTAATCCGTCAAAATCATTTAAAATGTGTTTATGATGAAAGCTTGCATGCAACAACTTTTGTTGTGTCATGTCATTAAACAATACAAAGTTAGTAGCGACAGTTGGCTAAGATTCGTAGCTGATGTCTTATTCGCAACTGTACCACATTTTTCTGAGCCTAAATGTCTTTTGTGCACGATTAAAAATAGAACTTCACATAGTTTAGACAAGTACACTGACCGCGTTGACTTTCGCTTTTCTGTTTGGCAAGTTCAATATTTTTTTGTATTTCTAGTCGATACCGATGGGTATCAGGAAGTGATTTTTCTGCTATTTGCAATGCTCTCGAGTAGCATTCTAATGCATGATCAATATCATGAATAGCGCAATGAACTAAACCCTTTAAATATTCAGATATTATACACGCTCACAGAGCAACCATTTTGATCTTCGAATTCTAATTACACATAGTAATGACAAAATAAATGAATAATCTAAAAATTATTGTAACTTCGAGCAATATCGATATGATCTGCAGGTAATGCTCGGCTTTATTCGAAAATTATAAGTGGTATCTCTATCGACAAAAATTGTTAGGTATTCATTTTTTATCCGATAACGGTAATAGATAATATTAGAATATTCGATTTTTTTCTTCCATTCAAGTGCCTTTTTGTAACAGGTCCGAGCTGTATCATAACTATTTTTCCTGTAATGAACATTGCCAAGAGGCGTACAGAAATGACGACAATAGCCAGAACCCATCTGAATGGACGAAATTTTGAAATTAAAGAAAATGTAATTGAACATCGTTTATGTATGATATATTATGTTATTCAGTGTTAAACCGATACTGGGATGGTCGCGCGGTAATACCCTTTCGTTCATTTTATTAGCTTCTTTGAAATAATTCAACGCCTTGTCATATAACCCTTTGTCATAATAAATATCACCCATATTATTCAATGTTCCAGCTATATCAGCATGTTTTTTTTGTAAATTTTTCCGATACATTTTTAATGCTTTCGTTAGATATTGCAATGCTTGTTCATGTTCTTTTTTCTCACTGTACACTACACCTATTCCGTTTAAAGTTTTTGCAGCTGATACCAGGCGTGGTGGTTTTGCTGTAATATGCCTTTGATATGCACGTTCATAATACAGTAGTGCATGTTCATATTCGCCTTTGAGACGATGTATTCGGCCTATATTATAATAGATACATGCCACTTCTTCATCATTCGGGTTTTTTTGTAAAACTCTTTCAAAATATTCTTGAGATTTTCCATATTCACCCATATCAGCGAGTAAATGGCCGAACATTAGAACAATATTCGATTCAGCCATCCTTTTCTTTTGAAACTCAATATATCCCATAGCCAATTCGGCACCTTTATCAGTAGCAGTAAGTAAAAGCAGCCAGACTTCGTCCACTGTGTTATATGTGACTTCATTAATTTCAAATGCAGCACCTGAAACAGATGATCGAATCTGTCTGATGAATCGAAAACTGCAACAGAGAAGCGACATATAGGATCGCTTCTTCGAGCCGAAAGTTCAGGGTGAGAAAATCTTCCTGATTCACACTGTGTTCAAACATTAATAATTGGCGCTAGGCCTCACGATAAACGTGAAAAGAAGTTTCGGCTTCTGCGCTGGCTTCGGGTATATTACTAACAAGGGAACATTTTCTGGTGTTTCCTTCCAATTTCATTCATTCATACGCCAATCGGTAGAGTGTATTAAGGTAGTAAAAACCCTAAAAGGATGCGGATCGACGGCTTTTCCTTAAAAAGCGGATGTTATTATCATCGAAGTGAACGGCCAGTTATCTCATAAAAGTTTTAACTCTTGTTTTTAATAGATCAAGACGAAACAAGCGTTAAGCTATATGAAGAAAACATATGTTTTTTCTTTAGGAAATGAAAAACCTTGCAGCTCTAGAAGAAAGATAGGAAGAGATCTGAAACTTTCAGCGTATAAAGATCACACATAGACCTGCATTATATGAAAATTTCAGGAATAAACTCTTTGATTTGACTGAGTTCTGAAATTTTCAAATTTTCTCGTTTTTCACTACAAAAACAAGAAAAAATGCGTCTAGCTTTTTAAGGAAAAGCCGTCGGTCCAAATTCTTTTAGTCTTTTTACTACCTTAATACACTCTTCCGACGGGCATATGAATGAATGAAATTGGAAGGGGACACTGGAGAACGTTCTCTCATAAGGCAACGTACTATCCTAATGAGTATATTAGACTTTCTTGGCTGTAATGAAAGTCGAACGACACCCTCGTCGTGCTTAATGGTTCGACGTAGCGCCGGATTCTTGTAAATGTGTACGTTTTAAATTTTTCCTCGTTACAGCTCTTTTTACGCCATGTGTATGATAATTGGGATTAGAAAATGAATCAGAAAGCTTATTCCTTTAATAATGTACTATTTGCCCGTTCCCTAGATCAGCAAAAAGTAGGAACTTTTGACAAAAATCTTCCGCAAAAATTGTACTCGACAGAGACACGAAATGCGTAATCGGAGATTAAGATTCTTATAGACTTTAGTGAAGGCATGAAGTTTGGACAGAATTTGTCTAAGAGCAAAGTTATTAAAAAGAATTCTTGTGTTTTATACCATTATATCTTTTTTATTTTTCTAATGTTTAATTTTTTGCTATTCAGCAACTTTAGAATTCTTTCTTCTATAACCTTTTAACTTCTCGGACCTCTAGGGTTTAAATAACTACTACACTTTAAACAAAAAATGTCGTTTACAAAACTCAAATTGTTTGCTAATAGGATTAGGAACAGCTACTAAATCCGTAAGAGTATTTGAATCGTTCTTAAAAACCTGAAAAGTTTTGTAAAGGCTTTATTAGTCTTACTGAATCTTAAGATTTCTTTAGGGTTTTCTCTAAAGACCGAAAGTTTTATGAAATCATTAAAAAATCTTTAAAGTTTTTCTTTGTCTATTAGAGTGTTTTATTTAATCTGTATGGTTGTTCATTCAACCTTCAGGATTTGGGCAATCGCTAAATCCTGAGGTTTAAAAATCAAAGATTTCTTACAATTTCGTCAACAAATCTGTTGGTTTTTCGTTCATACGAAACCCTAGAATAGAGAAAGGTTTTCCGTTCCGCGTTTTCGCGCATGAGCTATTGGCTAAGTCAACTTTCTTAGCGACTTTCTAACACAATGGTGCTTATCATTCAACCAGGATGTCTAGTACTGGCATCGTTGGATGAGTCCCACCTCTCGATAGTGATCTAGTCTGTCAATGAACTTTATTTGCAGAGGAAAGAAATTAAGAAAATAAAGCAACATAGAACGAATGTAGATCAGACTACTTCAAGCAGTGGGGTATCAATCAGTAGGACGTGTTTGATGTTCGCTTGTTCGTAAAATGCCTGGCTTAGTGCACAAGTTCGTCCGACTTCTATCATAGTAAAAGTCATTTTTCAGCGTTTTCCCCACAATTTTTTTGTAAGATCTGGTTAACAGTGTTTTTTGCTTTTATTTTTTAATCATATGCGACAGGTTCTAATGCTGCTTCCGTCACATACAGTATATTGGTTTACTCATCTACTTTTCTTGTATGTTGGAAACAACGTGTCTCATAAGAAAAAAATTCTAGGAGAATTGTGTTTTGATACTTTTTTACTACTAAAAACGTATGAAAGAATGCTGACGATCCGCAAAATAGAGGGCTGCGCGATTACAATTACAAAATGTAAAGTTCAAACTCTGCTATTATTCGTAGAATTTGGAATTTCAGAATTCTGAACGTGTAAAGTTCTGAATTCTAGGAATAATAGCTGTGTTTCAACTTTACATTTTGTAATTGTAATAGCGCATTTCTGTCTAATTATGGTGTCTATGAATGGCAATATATTCTAGTTCTCTGTAAAAAGAATGGTTCTCTACCGAACCTTTGAAAGTTTACACTTCTGGAACGAAGGCTGTGTTGAAAAAAGATTTTGTCGCAAAGTCGTATTTTTTTATTCATAAAATAGGTTCGGTAGTGCACGTTTATGAAGCTCCTTGTTTAACTATTTGGACACTGAAGGATAGGTTCAGGTTCCATTCTAGGCCCAAAATATAGAAAATTTCTTGATGTGCAACACACAATAACTTTGGTATTTACATAATATTCCTTTATCTAAAACATAACAAACAATATAAGCAAGTATAAATGGGTGCTATAACAATTCGTATTAGTCTTTTTCGTACCCGTCAATTCGTCTCAGTCTATTTGTCTCGCATAATCTTCGTCCCCGACAATTTATCTCACGGAAAATTTGTCCGTTCGTCATTTCGTCTCAGCTGTATAATTAGACAATGCGTCTCACAGAGAATGTTACTGTGTCATGAACAGTCTGTCTTCTACGTATGAGACGAATAT